GAGTCTGAGTAAAGACGTGTTGGCATTTGAAGAGTCTCAGGTCTCGATCACTCCTAAGTTAAAAGCTTTCCAATGATTCGTGCTTGAGGAAATCTATCTCACTTAAGCAATGAGACAGATTTGGGTAACTTAAGTAATGAGACAGATTTGAGTAACTTAAGCAATGAGACAGATTTGAGTAACTTAAGCAATGAGACAGATTTGAGTAACTTAAGTAATGAGTCAGATTTGATTCACTTAAGCAATGAGACAGATGATTTTGATTCACTGAAACAACGAAATATATTTAAATCAGTTAAGAAATGAGAGACAGAGACAGAACGAGAGAGAGACAGACAAAAGAGAGAGAGAGAGAGAGAGAGAGAGAGAGATGGAACAACAATAATCAATAAATAAGAAACCTCAAACCATGTAACTAAAACAGGAATAGTGAGAAATATAATACATCAAATCTCTCTCTCTCTCTCTCATTCTATGCACCTATAACCATACATATGTTTGATCTATCTATCTATCTAGTCATTCAAATACCTCCTTCTACTGATAGTGAGAGCGATAATAACAAACAAACTTCAACATACAGAGATAAAAACAATACATAAACATAATCACTACTTAATCTTAGTAGTGTTTAGTTAAGTCAAAATCCCCACCTATCATGACCTAACTGATGTATGTATCTTCATATGAGAGGTGGCTTAAAGTATCCTGCCACCTTGTCATTATAGGTTCACGGAGGGAATATGCCGCCCACGGATGGCTTCAGGCACCCAATATCTTTATCGAAAATCTATAGTTTAATTAAACGCGGCCACGACACAAAATGTCCATTGGTGAATAAACTCGAGAGATACATTGGCACGTGTGGAGAGGCATTAAATATCTAGCAATACCGGGTCTCCAGTCTCTCTCTCTCTCTCTCTCTCTCTCTCTCTCTCTCTTTGTGCTGGGTGGCCAGAAGGAGACCACAGGCAGGCAGGCAGGTGTTTGTCCCCGCGTCACACACTACAATGCTCCTGAGACAAACGTCACCTAAATGCTCGTAAATGCTCTCGTAAGGACCTGCCCCTTGCCCCTTGTACCTTCCCCTGGCCTTCTCCTGTCCCTTCCCTTTATCATATCTCGAGGGATGGTAGGTGTGGTTGGATAAGGGAAAAAGGGAGGGAGGGATTGTGTGGTTGAGGGAGGCAGGGAGAGACGGAGAGACGATGTGGGTAGATAAGAAAGGGAGGGATGGTGTGGGTAGATGAGAGAGGGGTGGATGATATGGTTGGGTGAGGGAGGGAAGGAGAGGGGGTGTTTTGGGTTGAGAGAGAGAGAGAGAGAGAGAGAGAGAGAGAGAGAGAGAGAGAGAGAGAGAGAGAGAAGGAAGGACAGTAGGTAAAAATAGATAATCGAGGGAATGATACAGAAAGGTAAGTGAATATGTGTGTGCGTGTGTGTGTGTGTGTCTATGTGTATGTGTGTGTATTGTGAGAGGTCTGTACGTCTCATCGGCAGGCAGTGATCAGCATCATCGAGGTCGACCCCCCCCAAGCTTCCCGCCTCATTGTCTAAATTCTTTGTAGTAGTTTCCCTTAAAACATTTTACGAGAGGCCATTTTCTTTGTATGAGTCTCCAGCCGCGAGGTTAAATTAGACTTACAAATCTATCCTGAACGTTTGTCTTCCCTTTGTCCTATTTTTTTGTTTTCTTTATCGGATATTTATCGTGTTTTTAGAGGCTGTGGTCTGAGGGAGGGAGAAAGAGGGTGTGGGGGAGGAGGGGGAGTGAGGGTAAAGGGAGGGGGAGTGAGGGTAAAGGGAGGGGTAGTGGAGGTAAATGGAGTAGTGGGGGAAAGGAAGTGGGATCGGGGGCGAAGAAGGGGGGGAGGTAGGAAAGGGGATAGGGATTGGAGGAGGAGAAGTAAAGGGGAAGAAATCGGAAGGTCTTGGGTAAGGGAGGTGGGAGGTGAATTTCTTGGGGTGGAGGAGAGGAAGTGGTTCTGGTAGCGTTGAGAGACAAGAGAAAAAGGATGTGAATCACCTGAATAATCTGCATCACAGCTTATTACACCTAAAGATTAACCTTCTAACGCTATTATGGGGGAACGAGGTTAGGTTAGGTTTGGTTTGTGCTGCATTAGGTTTATTTTCGTGGTTCGTTTACTAGTGAAAAAAAATTATCAAGAAATAAATTGGCGCATATGGGATATTACCGTGTTGCAACATATCTAATTAGTTGGAGTTTCTAGTCTTAATTTCAACCAGTAGCTCCTCACTGTGCTTATGAATCGACTTATAGGGTTTTAATCTAAATGTCCTTAAAGAGAATAGCTTGTAATTATAAGCTATGGCCCTGAAGAACAGTCATATTAAGATAAAAGTTTAGTTACGCTTAAAGATGTACTTTATCGTTTTCTATTATAAAATTTTAACAGAAAATGACAACACTGTACAACATTTTAATAGAGACTCTTATAATATTTAGAAGTTTAACACTAATTCAGTAAAATCGTCATCGCTGTTCATAGTGGCTCGGCATGTTCCGTTATAAACATTAATTCAATTACCCAAGAATAGCCTACAAAAGTTATTAGAATTTCACTTATCAGATCACTGAGGATTTTAAACATTATATAGATATTTTTGTTTACAATTTTATTTTACTACATTTATAACACAATACCACACATTGTATTATTAACTCGAAGTAATAATAAGTATCACCTATATTCCACAGCGTAATAACAAGCAACACGCATTACTAAAAAAATCTAATTATTACTTTAACAATAACTTACTATATGTCTTTTTAAATCACAAATACACCATAAATTTACAGTCCATTTAGATGCGTTAGTTATGCAAGACATAGAAAATTAATAGGTTTTCTTGGAGTTTTCTTTAGTAGACCTAACACTGAGGGCTGGAGGCGAGGAGATGAAACCCAAAACCTATAATGTTTAGGAGTCAACACAAAACGTTAAATCACATACTTATGATGCCATATTAAAACACACATGGTGAAAGACTATGGCTACAACTACTAGTGCTTACTCACGCCAAATATGAAGAACAATTACTGTACCTATCGTTAAATAGATACAAGTATACAACAATAGGTATGTCAAGGTACTACAGGTGGTTGGTATAGTTAATACTTCAGAGAGAAAAGGCACTCCGTTTTATACCTGTATGTTGCAATGGGATAATTATTTTCGCTTTCCACTGAACTTGCATTATATGTTGTTCATGACGTCTGAGATATTAAGTGTAAGATATTTAGGGGGGCTCATGGCAGGGGTTCAAATTTGGCAGGAAACTGTTTTTTAGAACCTCTTTGTGTAGGTATGTGAAGAAGGCCTATATTGTGTTTAAGAAATTGGTATCATGCAGGTGTTTGAGCCTATATAGACAAACACCACCACGGAAGCTCACACCCAGCTGACTTGCCCTGGATCACACCTCGAATCAAAAGTCTTATGCAGCAAAGAAGCAGAGCCTTCTATTTCTATGACAACAACCGCTACAGGTCCCTTCACAACCAAATCATCTATGAAATACGCGCTGCTAAGAAGTCTTACTACCCAACGAAGCTGCAACACCTGAAGCAGACCAACATCAGTCAGTGGTATGGTAAACTTAATGAGCAATATAACAACCATTTGGCAACTATATGCCACACGCTCTCCCGGCTTGACACAACCAGTCTCCCTGGTTACCTATCAGCTCCTTCTCCCACTGACTTAGTGGAAGAATTTGAAGTAGCAAGATTTTTTTTAACAAACTGAAGATAAAATGACCCACCACCCCCATTGACTTCCCAATGAAACTCTACAAGGAGTTCTCCCCGGAACTAGCTAAACCCCTCTGCGCCATCATCAATGCTTCCCTCAGCCAAGCAAGATGCTCAGTTGACTGGAAGACCTCATATATGTCACCAGTGCCCAAGTCAACGAGCCCACAATCCTTAAATGAGTTACAGCCTATTGCAATCACCACAATATCCAGCTTAATCTGCGAGTTTCGTTTTTGACTGGGCTTATGGTGATATTATAGGCGCCATAGATCCTCAGCAATTTGGCAATATGAAAACTTCCTCTACCACTCACTGTCTTGTCAGCATTCTCGACTACATATACCGCCATCTGGAAAAATGAGAACGTCTGTGGCTGTCGCCTTCATTGACTTCGCTAAGGCATTCGACCTATCGACCACAATTTAATCAGCAACAAAGCTATCGACCTCGGTTTTCGGAGAAGTCTTATACCATGGCTTACAGACTTCCTTAGTGACCGACGCCAAGCCGTACGCTTCCGAGGGGCTGTCTCCACTTTTCAGTCACTCACCTGTGGCGTCCCCCAAGCACCAAGATGGGACTGCTCTGCTTCCTCATGTTTATCAATGATGCCCAAAGAGAAACCACTGCTCGTCGGAAATATGCTGACGACTCCGCCATTGGGATCAGTGTCAACAACTCGGCTCCCGACAGTCTCCAAAATTGGACCACCAACAACCATGTCACCATCAACCATACCAAGACCATGGTTATGCACATCAACCTCTCCTCTGATCTTGTCTCGCCTCCCTCCATCGCACTGGGCCCCAACACACTCCAGATTGTGGACTCCACGAAGCTCCTCGGCATCACTATAAATAACAAGCTAAATTGGAAAACACACGTCAGTGCAATTTTCAAATCCTCCACTTTTCGTCTTCACCTCCTCCGCCGTCTCAAGTCCCTCAGAGTTCCCGCGTCCGAGCTCCCCAGTGCTTACTCAACATTCATACTTCCCAAGCTCACTGATGCTTCCATTTCCTGGTCTTCCTCTCTGAATGCCACACAACGAAAACACCTAAAAAAAAAGAGTACAGAAGAGAACGTGCAAGATGATCACACCCAACTCCACATATCAAGAAGTACTCAACACAATGACTCTTTCGGCTCTCTCTGATCATCACCACGACCTCATCTGCAGAAGCTTCTCACCAGGGAGAAGCTTCTGCACCATCCTCGACACCGGCTCCTACTACCACCCGAGATCCCTCGTCTGCGAATTGCTGTTCGACATTACAACCGCATCCAGCTCATACGAACACGTACTGGTCGTTTTAAGAACAGCCTAGTCCCAACCATTGTAAAAATTATCAACAACTCGTAGCTAACTAGTGTATTCACTCCCAGTCAATCTTAACTTTTGGTTGTTTTAAGAACAGCCTAGTCCCAACCATTGTAAAAATTATCAACAACTCGTAGCTAACTAGTATATTCACTCCCAGTCAATCTTACCTTTTTGCACTATTACTAAGTTGAAATGCCCTGTAGTAGTAGTACAACCTTTTCCCCACCTTGTTACTAAATATCATATTTGCATCACTTATGTTAATTGTATATTATTTGTCGATCAAGTTCCCACCCCCCCCCACCACACACACACACGTCTCAATAATCAGCAACGTGTCATCTCTGAATCTCTAAAACAAAGCCTTAAAATACTTATCGCTTTAAAGTTTTAGTATCGAAGCCAAATCAGGGGTCGGTAATGCCGTGGTAAGTCCCGTCTTCCTCACTAATGGGAATTTCAGGAGAGGCGAGCGAGGCCTGGCTCTGACTGTACTTCGGTAGGACTTCGTTGGCCCTCCCAGAGTCCACCATATTCCCGACGTGGTCCGCATCCCAGTCCTTGGGGCAATTGCCAGGCCCCTCGGGACAGTACGTGAAGTTCTTATTTTGAGGTGAAGACAGCAACACCGCTAAAGCGAAAATGAAGAAAATGATGACGGAAGCGATGAAGGAAATTCGGTCGATCACTTGACAGAGGTTACGCCACTCCAGCACACGGACGGAAGTCAAGGAGGCTTGTTGGGACTTCTTGTTTTCTTTGTCCGCCAGCAGAAAGTGGATGCCTTCCAGGGCCTCGAGGTTACGTTGCTGGTACTCGTCTGTGTGAGAGAGAAGAAGACTGTGTTGTTAGCTGTCAACAAGTTTGAGTGTAATAATAATAATAATAATAATAATAATAATAATAATAATAATAATAATAATACACGGTTTATTACTAGAGTTGCAGCCGGTGGCTGAAAATATACAGACTTACATTTGATTTAGACATAATGATATAATATGCATTGAATACATTTACAGGGCTGTACAGTACATAAATCAGGAGTTGTTTATTATTTTAACGATAGATGTGATGGTGCTATTCTTATATCTATCGGTGCGGGTTCTTTTGGGCTGAATTTTGTTGTAGTGGCGGACTGCGCGAGGTGGGTGGGGGGCTGCCGGTGGCAGGAGGTGGTTATAACGAGGGTGGTGCATTAGTTGGCTGCCAAACCTTTCCAGTGCTTGGTGGTGGAGGTCACTGAGGGATTGCATTTCCAGGGTGGAGAGAGCGTTGATGTAGCCGGAGTATTCTGCGCCGAGCATGATTCTGCAGGCCCTTTTCTGTACCTTCTCTAGCCGATGTTGTTGGGTGGAGTTGAGAGAAGACGACCAGGCTGGTGACGCATGCGTTAGTTTGGGGAGAATAAAGGCGTTGTAGATGGTCCTCAGCTCTGGCGTGGGTGTCCCAAGTGACCTAAGTCGTCGTAGCATGTAGAGACGGTATGAGGCTGCCTTGACTGTGTTATTTACATGGGCCTTCCAGTCCAGTTTGTTGTCTATACTTACACCCAGGAGTTTGGCAGGCTGCACCAGCTGGAGAGGATGGGCACCCACTGTGACTGCTGGGGCTTGCACTGGAGTGGTGGCGGTATTGATGTGCATGACTACGGTTTTGGTGTGGTTGATGGTGACCTTGTTCTCCGTAGTCCATGCCTGTAGCCTGTCCAGGATGCCTTGTAGCGATGAGTAGTCTGGTGCGGTGTTGTCCACTGAAACCCCCACAGTGCAGTCATCCGCGTGTGTGTGCGATAGTGTGTGTGTGTGTGTGTGTGTGTGTGTGTGTGTGTGTGTGTGTGTGTGTGTGTGTGTGTGTGTGTGTGTGTGTATGTGAGGGGTGTGTGCGTGCGTGCGTCTATTTGGAGGCTTCAGAAGGCATCACTCACCCATATTAGAGTCAGCCTTGTGTCGTTCAGGTGTGTTTAGTGGCTCCACCTGCACCATCTTCGCCTGGGGACTCTTGGCATTCAGTCGACAAGCAGCCTGAAACAAGTGAGTCATTAAGATGTGTCAATAAAGTGAGTCATTAGGATGTGCGTCATTAATATGTGTCAGTATACTGAGTCATTATGGTGAGTCAATATAGTGAGTCATTATGGTGAGTCAAGAGGATGAGTCAGTACCACATTACTCATACATATAGGACCCCATGAAATAAATTAGGCACCAGGAATTACCTTACGGGACTCCTCATTCCACTTGGCCTTGAGATCTTCTGGAGGCGTCACCCACAGCCACCGACCCAAGAACTGAGATACGATACTAAAACACAATGAGAGAGAAGTGAATTTAAATTTCTATTAATATTAAAGGAAACGATACTGAAGAAACACAGAAATATTCACATCAAAAATTAACCCAATTAATGTGGTTGCGTCCCTCAGAAAGTTATCCAGACAGTCTTTTGAATATATATCTATTACATGTGAATAATACGTATGGAAAATAAGGATAAAGAGAATTATAAATACAAGAATAAGGAGAAAATATGAATAAGGATGTGTTGAAGTAATATAAACAGAGAGAGAAAAGGCGAGAGAAATGGTGAGAGTCTGAGAGATGACAATTACCTGATAGAATTGGGAACCGAAGTATCGACGCTGTAGTGACAAGTAAGAGATATGACTGAAATGATGATGTTTACCCCGAGCATCAGGATACTGCCACCATAGTATCGACCTGTGGGAGAGGAGGTGCTTAATACACTCAGTAGCCACTAACCTAACCAAACCTAACCTAACCTAACTTATAATACAGTCAGTAGAGTCAATAACCTAACCTAACCTATCATCTAGTATAGTCGGTAGAGTCAATAACCTAACCTAACCTAACCTAACTTATAGTACAGTCAGTAGAGTCAATAACCTAACCTAACCTAACTTATAGTACAGTCAATAGAGTCAATAACCTAACTTAACCTAATCATTGTTGAATGGGAAAAAGACCTACCGATGAGTGGGATCTGCTGAGTGGGAGGTATTTCCTGGGACATGGCCATAAGGAACACCATCATGGCCAGGAGGGCATTAGTGGCCAAACTGACTTTCTCTCCGGACTCCGCTGGCAGTAAGAAGGTCATGAGGGCTGAAAGTATACAAGAGAGGGTGTTAGAGGGTGTTAGGGGGTGTTAAAGGGTGTTAGGGGGTGTTAAAGGGTGTTAGGGGGGTGTTAAAGGTGTTAGGGGGTGTTAAAGGCGATGTTAGTGTGTGTTAGAGGGTGTTAGGGGTGTTAGAGTTTGTTAGAGGGGTGCTAGAGGGTAAGAGGGGGGTGTTAGAGGCAGAGGGTGTTAGAGGGATGTTAGGGGTGCTAGAGGAGGATGTTAGGGGTGGGTGAGGGGTGAGGGGTGGGTGTGTTAGTGGGGTGAGGGTGGGTGTTAGGGTGGGTGAGGTGAGGGGGGGGTTAGGGTGGTGTTATTGGGGTGGGTGTTAGTGTTAGGGTGGGGTGAGGGGGTGGGTGTGTTAGGTGGGTGTTAGGGGTGGGTGAGTGTAGGGGTGGGTGTTAGGGGTGGGTGTTAGTGGGAGGGTGGATGAGAAGTGAGAAGAACGAAGAAGAGAAGGAAGAGGCTGATGTTAATATAGGGGAGAAGGGAGACGAGAATGATGAAGGAAGAGAAGAAAAAGGAGACTGAGGGTACACAATGAGGAGAATGTTAGTGGGAAGGAGGAAGAGAAATGAGTAGGTAGGAGAAGGAAAAAGGAGACAAAGTTGGAATAGGAGGAAGAATCAAAAGATAGATATTTGTGAGAAGTGGAGAGGGAGATGGAAAGGAAATTGAAGAAGGAAGAAAAGAAAGGGAGAAGGAAGTGAGGGGAAAGGGGAGGGAGAGGAGTCGAAGAGCAAAGGCGTTAGTAATCAGAGTGAACCATCTCCTATTCAGACAACAATAAACACGAGAACGAATAAATATGTAACTATATATCTGTATGTGGTTAATATATGTATATAAACAGGTATAGACAGGTATTGACGGTGAATACAGGTTTCAGGAGGGGGTATTAGGTGTAACAATCAAGACAGGTGTCAAAAGTGAGGAGCAGGTGTGAGGCATCAGAGGTGAGGTTAGGTTAGGTATTAGGCGTCGCTATCAACACAGGTTTTGTAGTTGAGGACAGGTGTTAGGTTGATCTTACCACACACGTTGACGATGGTGCCAGGCAGGATGAAGAAGAAGAGAGCAAACAGGACCCTCCTCTGCACCTGTATGTGGTACGTGACGACTGTTGAGTAGAGAGGAACCCCATTAGGTTAATAGATGTAGACTCACTCTCTCTCTCACTCTCTCTCTCTCTCTCTCTCTCGTAGGATATTCAGGGAGGATTGACGTGCTATGTGTTATCTTAGATCATACAGGGAGGTCCTAGGGCTTACAGGGATGGAGTCCGTGGACCTCTCAGGAATCACACTTACAGGAGAAAGGAATGATACAACAAGGGTCATGGACGCTGTGCAGGACGGAGTAGAAGTTCTCCAGGTAGAACTCAGGATGGGGGGTGTATTCGGTCAGGTCACCGGGGCCTTTAACTAACTGTAACTGTAGAAGAGGAAAGAGTTGTCTGAACATTTTGTATCCAGTTAAGAATAAGTTAAAGGTAAATGACATAGCCTGGTCCCTCCTACCCCCGTGTAGTTCCAGGAAAGAGAAGAGATTCATGGTCTCACTGATCGAAGGGAGTATTACCCAAAACGTATACTCGAGTCTACAGTCTTATTTATTGGAGGGTATACTACTCAGAATAGTAAACTAAAGATAAACTCAATTGTAAGGACTATTAACTAACCTCCTCCGCTGAGTAGGTCCATGAGGCAAAGTTAAGCAAGCAGTCTTGTTGGTCGAAGGGGTACCAGAGGGTGTCAACGTTACAGGTGGACTGGAAGAAAGCATGAGAGACCAGCTGGACCTCCCCGGTGTAGTAAATCCTGGCGTTGGTGTTGAGGATGCCTAGCTCGTAGCCTGAGACAGCACTGTTCGAGCCAAAGAGAAACTTAATCGAATGCACACTTATAAGTTATTTTAATGCAGTATATATATTTTCAAGATCAATGTTGGATACAAGACGCCTGCAAGAATATCGAGGATGTGGTTTGCACGAGACTAACCATTTAGAGTGACGAAGCAAGAGGAAACAAGGTGAAAAGTTACTATAGACTGCAACATCAACAAAGCAGGTTGGAGAGGTTTTGACTGTGGGCTATGGGCATTTGTGAATTATAAACCAATATCAATGTTTTGTGAAAGTCCTTGAGATTCAACCTAAAATTACGAACTGGGATCCACACGTCAGGATGTTACTGTTGAAGATAATTACAACTCTAACTTCAGGGCATATGTAGACTGACAATGAAATTTACAGTAAACGTCGGTAGAACCTCTTGCCCATCCTTCCTCTGTAACTCACCTGTTCATTAGGATAATATCAGGATACCATATGTGTGTGTGAGGGACGATAATGAGCTCAGTGTTGTTGTAGGAGGCAGGGTCCCAGGACAGGTAGTGATCCCTCCACTTCATGATCATTTCCGTGTTGATGATGAGCCTCTGTTCCCGGGTTTTCTGCAAAGGTCGTGCGACAAAATAATAAAGAGAGTGAGATTACAGAAGCTACCCCTTAACGCTATTACATTTTCTTTCTTTCGCATAGCAATCATTGAAGAAAACGTTTATTTGGTCTTTATACACTGCACAGCTAAGTCTCACCAAGCTTCGAGACACTGGACAGATAAGTCTCACCAAACTATGGGACACTGAACAGCTAAGTCTTACCACACTACGAGAACACTAGACAGATAAGTCTCACCAGGGCGAGGACGTTAAAGAGAGCAATCTCGAAGAAGACGAAGGTGGTCTCGGTTTGATGGGTCACAGGGCGCACATGCTTGTTGTAGTTGAGGAAGAGATCGTTGAAGAGCTGGTGGTTGTCTGAGAGAGGTTTATCGGTATTAAGGGACGACCACACCAATCCTACCAGTGCTGGAAGGAAAGGATATGACTTTTGTTGTATGCTAAAATGGCTTCTATTGGATGCTAGGATATGACTCCTATTGGATGCTTGAAAGAAAGGATAAGGCTTCTATTGGATTCATGGAGGTACGGATACATCCTTTCTACAAGATATGGAAGGAATGGATGTTGGTTATGTTAGATGGATGATAATGAAAAAATGTCACCTTATACAGGAGCTGGAAGGAGGACGAAAAGGGATAAGGCGATATAGTTCCTATTAGAAGTATCAAGGTGTGTGTGTGTGTGTGTGTGTGTGTGCGTCTCACCTGAACTGAGGAAGAGCAGTCCCAGAGGGCAGCCTGCCCCTTGTGACATCACCATTATCATCAAGCGACCCCTCAATCCATCCACACTTCGAGAGGCACCACAGCACCTCACCAAGTAGCGACAGACACGCGGGTGTTGGTGACAGAGCGAGTGGTGAGTTTCCTTGTGACGAGTCTCTTAGTGCACAAGTCCTGTAAGTGAGAAACACCAATGAAATCACTTCCCTGTTTGGTGAAATCTTTTATGAATGCTGATCAAATGTAAATGTTTGATGCTCTAATAATAAGAATTGGGCAAATCAGTCAGTATTCTTTACATCTGTTGTTGTCTTTGAATTATTATTTTTATTGTTAGTTTATTTTCACGCAAATTGCCTGGAGGAGGAGTACCTTTAAGTGACACCTTCATGGCTTAGGAACACCTTTAAGCAAAAATCATCAGAAGGAGCCACTTTAAGTAACACACACCTGCCAGGAGGAACACCTTTCAGCACCACCTGCCTGGAGGAACACCTTTCAGTATCACCTTCCTGAAGGAACAGCGGAATACCTTTCAGCAGCACCTGCCTGGAGAAGAAGCACATCTAAGAATCACCCACCTGGACGATGCGCTGCACCTTTAAGTAACACCGACCCCAGCTGAGAGACACCACACCCTGCGCAAGGAACGAGGACAGGTACAAGCATCAACAACGATTATCACGAAATGTCTCCTCCTCGTTAAGACGATCGTGTCGCGTGCAGCTCATTGAGTACCTCCCAGAAAACTCACCCAAACAAGAGACAAGGACTCTTATTATTATAATGTACCCCCAAATTACAGACATTTATCTCTGCCTTGCCAAAAAATTATTAAAAAGAGGGGGGAGTTTTTTTTTATGGTTTCATGTTGTTGGTGTTGTCTCTCGTAATAAAACACAAAAACACTCATACACCATAGCGTCGGTTATAGCCACACGCAGGAGAGCACAAAACACTCCATTACATACGAAAAAGGAAAGTTGCCAAGGCCGAAATTCACGAATCTGAGACATCTAAACGCATCCTGTTTATATATAGTTGTCCTTTCACGAATCAGTTAACGCCGTGAGGCCTTATGGCACAGTTCATCGGAGATTCATAGAATAGTTTAGTGAGTGGTAAGCGAGGCTGTAAAGATAATGTGGGAACCATTAAAATGAGACGACATTAACGTAATAAGTCGAAGTTTTACCCAAGGACTCACGGTAAACAGGACTGAAGACTTTAATATACAATCACCTGGTTATCATGTTTCGATTTATTGATATTTTTAAAAGCCTCAAATACCTGAGCTAACAAGACTCGGGTAATTGATACATCGTGCCCAATATGGTCTTAAAGGGGTTAGCAAATAGCCTATAAACGGTGCAAGTGAAAGGGTCCGAGTACATCTTATGGGGAAAAATTAAAAGTAAAATAACTTATTACAAAAGAAGATAAAAAGTTGAAACATGAGTAAATATTTAAACATTCATATTATCTATAAACTTAGTGAAACAAATGCAATCTGATCTTAATACTTTGGTTAAATGGTTTTGAATCTTCCCCAAGAAGCGTAGCTGCTGAGAGTCGACAACTTGATATAGAGTTTGAAGAAACTAGAATGAATTATTTGTCTTCAGCTGGCGTAATGTTGTTGTAGGAGTTTATTATATTCAACATTTCTGTACCTGTGTTTACAATTGTGTTATTTGTACCTGTGTTTATAATTGTGTTATTTGTACCTGTGTTTATAATTGTGTTATTTGTACCTGTGTTTATAATTGTGTTATTTGTACCTGTGTTTATAATTGTGTTATTTGTACCTGTGTTTATAATTGTGTTATTTGTACCTGTGTTTATAATTGTGTTATTTGTACCTGTGTTTATAATTGTGTTATTTGTACCTGTGTTTATAATTGTGTTATTTGTACCTGTGTTTATAATTGTGTTATTTGTACCTGTGTTTATAATTGTGTTATTTGTACCTGTGTTTACAATTGTGTTATTTGTACCTGTGTTTATAATTGTGTTATTTGTACCTGTGTTTATAATTGTGTTATTTGTACCTGTGTTTATAATTGTGTTATTTGTACCTGTGTTTATAATTGTGTTATTTGTACCTGTGTTTATAATTGTGTTATTTGTACCTGTGTTTATAATTGTGTTATTTGTACCTGTGTTTATAATTGTGTTATTTGTACCTGTGTTTATAATTGTGTTATTTGTACCTGTGTTTATAATTGTGTTATTTGTACCTGTGTTTATAATTGTGTTATTTGTACCTGTGTTTATAATTGTGTTATTTGTACCTGTGTTTATAATTGTGTTATTTGTACCTGTGTTTATAATTGTGTTATTTGTACCTGTGTTTCTTTATACATGTGTTTATCTGTACTTGTGTTTGTTTGTATCTATGTTGTTTGTGCATGTAATGTTATGTACCTGTGTTTGCTTGTACCTACAGTATGTTTGTTTGTACCTGAGTTTCTTTGTTTATTCGTGTGTTTGTTGTAGAGTTAAGGACCAGTACTGACACATCACTATTTGTATCACACGTACAGTTGGGGACATTTCCGACTAGTACACTCAGCGTTGTCAATCCATCCTCTCCGTGAGGTGTGAACCCCGAGAGTATCAACACGCGAATCTGAAGCCTTGAAGTTACTCGGCGAGACGTGAGGTGCACACAGTAGCCTGGGATCACAATGATATAATTTGACTCATTACATGTGCCCTGCAACGTTAACATAGATTATTATTGATGTCCAGTAATATGGACGCTTTTAACGTGGAGTGAACAACACCTGACCTGCAGTGGACAATGTAAGGCTGAAACAGTTGGTTACACAGTATAAATCTTCCACTTTATTTATCCTCAAGCAAAGTGTAAGAGACGTTAGTATAGTGCCAGGCTTTATGTGCGTCAGGTGTTGTGGGGTGCAACTGTCCCCCGCCCTCTGTCCAGTGCAACAGAGACCTCCCCTCCCACCCCTCCCCTTAATCTCCTTACGTCACACCACCTCCCCTTAACATCCCCCTGACGTCATTTCAGTTGTTTACATTAAGAGAGTTACAGGGTGTATTAAAAGTGTGTTTGAAGGGTAGTTTATCGTACCAATATTGACAACTAATGTTCGAAATGGAAATAGTTCTCAGTTATCACAACAGAAAATATTGGAAAATTTTGCATTAGATTACCAATTTACAACTTTATTTTAGATGTTTTGTGGATGATAATGAGATGAAAATACCGTACTAAGTATTGTTGCTTTAATGATGCCGTTAATAACATTTACCGTCTAGTTGTTCACAAGAGCTGCCTCAGTTGACATTAACAGTTTATAACTAATATTATAGCGCGTCTTATCCTCACTCACACTACACTATAATATTTTATCATAATCCCCCTGAGAAAAGAAAAGTGGTGAACAAGTGAGAGAGAGTATGAGAGAGTAAGTGAAAGAGTAGGTGAGAGTGTGGGAAAGGGTGTAGGATGGTGTGTGAGAGGAAATGAGTGTGGAACAGTAGGTGAGTGTGAGGAGGAGTAAGTGGGAGTGACTGAGAGTGAGGGAAAGGGTGTAGGATGGTGTGTGAGAGGAAATGAGTGTGGAACAGTAGGTGAGTGTGGGGAGGAGTAAGTGAGAGTGACTGAGAGTGAGGGAGAGTGTAGCATAGCAGAGGTTATGAGTGTGTGAGAGGGAAGAGGGGAGGGGGGAGAGGGGTGGGGAGTAGATAAATGTTGGGGGCATACAGGTGAAGCCTGAAGGTAAGGAAATGAGTGGGGGGAGGGGGGAGTGGGAAGGAGAGGATGGAGTGGGGAAGAGAGGGGGAGTGGGTGAAGAGGAGGAAGGGGTGGAAAGGAGAGGAGGGGTGTAGAAGGGAATAAACTAGGGAAGGATGAGTAGAAAAGGGCGCAGTAAGGGATGAGGAAGAGAAGGGATAGGGAGTAAGAAGGGAGGGAGGGTATGTTAGGGAGGGCGATGACGACGTTCAGGGAGAGAAGGAGGGATGGAGAGAGGGAAGGAGGGAAGAAGAAGGCAAGAGAATAATAATACTGTGGGGTTCCCGCTGTCAAGTCCGGCCGTAGCTTTGGGGTATTCCAGCTGAGACGGAGAGCAGCTGCCAGCCGAGCCGACCCCAGTGCACACTAAACCCTAGTGGCGAAGGGAACATACCGCTCTCTTTCCGACTTCTAAAATCACAAAATCCGACCCCTAAACAACACATCTCCATTATATCTTCATTCCCTACGATCATTTTCATCATATAAAGTAAGAAAGTGGTGAAAATAAGCTCAAAAAAGACGATAGAAGAAAGAAAAGGTGAAACATACGAATAGAAATCTGCCAGGGTGAGTGTGTACCTGTGTTGTTATTGTTAGCGTTGAAGGCTACTGTTGCCTCGTGAGGTTTACTTCATTCGTCTCACCAAGAGTCTATTTTGGCTTCGAAATTAACTCAATTGGGTGATTTGGGAGTAGATTTTGTAGTCATTTTGACCCTGGCATCAGTAAAAGTTTTGTGTTCGTTTCTAGTGAACTCCGAGTTGTGGCCGTGAGTCACTCAGGCAGGGTGGAAATATGGCCGACTCAGCTGATCTCAATGTAAGTCATGAACTACGGCGTAAATACATGGAGTTATCGTACCCTAATGTCCAGTATATAGGTTTGTAAAAATAATCAACTCATTTACAACACTGGTATGTAAATGAAGAAATAATTTACGCAGGTGTACAATTAACAGTGATGGGTTCACCTGAAGATTCACCTCCCAACTTATTACACCTGAAGGTTAACCATCCTAACGCTACCTGAAAGGGGTTGGATTAGGTTAAATTAGCGTGAGATTATGATTAGCGTTTAGGGAGATTAGATTAGTCTTCCGTTGACCCCGTACCTGTAAATAGAATCAACTCATTTACTTCACTGGTTTGTAAATACGTGGAATCCAATTGTTATATTATAGTGGTGTTTGGTGTCTGTCTCTTATCTCTTCTACCTCTACTATCTCTTCTACCTCTACTACCTCTTCTACCTTTACTATCTCTTCTGCCTCTTCCTGCGATAAACTCGGTGACATAAATCGAAAAAGGAATTTGTTTTATTTACACTGGAACCATTGGTGATGTTTTTTTCCTATTCCAGATATATTTTGAACCTTTAAGTTAAGTTAATGATAAGATGGACAGTACAGCAGGTCTCAGATATTACAGAAGGTTATTTTGTTTATTTGTGCTGTATCTTGAGAGAAAATCGACTATATGATATATCCGTGTTTGTCCAGTAACCTCACATGCATATTTTTAATAGGTCTTATATAATATGACATACTCGACTGGGTATATCATAATATAGGCCTATATCATGTATAAACCATGATATGCTGGGTACATAACTTATATAGTAGGACTTATACATATAATATACATACATTCATATATGATTATTTCCGGTTCAGAAATTACGAGTCTTGTACAATATCGGTGCAGGGTGAGATCGACGAGTTCCGAAACGATACGAATACACTGTGATATGTCGGGAAGGTTGGTAAGTGTATCCTCATAACCCCCCCCCCCTCAACTAGGTGTTGCCATATGGCTGACATTCAGGGCTGCCAACATACGGGTGGAACAACTCACCTTTCCCAATACCTATCGTCAATGGTCTCAAATTGTTCACACTACAGTATGCACCGATACTTTTTGTTGCGAGTGTACATCGTCGAGAGAGAGAGAGAGAGAGAGAGAGAGAGAGAGAGAGAGAGAGAGAGAGAGAGAGAGAGAGAGAGAGAGAGAGAGAGAGAGAGAGAGAGAGAGAGAGAGAGAGAGACTTTACACCCTGATAACGAAAAAACTAATCATTGGCGGATATCCTCATAAAGATATCACACAGGATATACCCTCAACACTCAGGCGATAGATAACACTCGACTATAACCACAACTCTTTGTGATATAACCGAAGTATACTGCATCGATACACAACTTTGAGTATATCCTAGTTATAGGGTCCTCTCCCCTCGACCTCCACCTTCCCAGTCCCCCTCACCTTCCACCCTTTCCCTCTGATCATCCTCGTCCTCCTTTCTACCTCCCCTCATCTTTGTCCTCCCTCTTCTCAGCAGAGAGAAAGGTAGGCATATAAATTTAAAGAAAAAATGAGAAAAACGAGTAAAAATCTGAGACAGACAAACAGACGGGCAACGAAATGAAGGGAGTGGAGAAATTTATATCAACACACACACACACACACACACACACACACACACACACACACACACACACACACGATGTAGTTATTGAGGCTGTGGTGGTCAGGTGGTGGATCAAAACATACTCACGTCTTACTGTCTTGCCTTGGCTGTGTGGAGGTAAACAGCTGATTAGTGACCTCATATGCACGGTCACTCAGATGATAATGTTGTTGTTGTGGCGGCGGTGGTGGTTGGTTGGGTAGTGTACTTATGTTTGGTCTGTCTTCCTCCCCCTCCTCCTCCTCCTCCTGCTTCTCTTCCTGCTTCTCCTCTTCTTCTTCCTCCTCCTCTTCCTACTCATCTTCCTCCTCCTTTTCTTCTTCCTATTAGTATTATTTTTTTCTTCTTTCTCATTCTTCTCTTCATTGTCACGGCTTAATTCAACCAATCAGATGCTTTCTTGCTTCCTCATTTACGAGATCTGGTCACTGTAGGAACGTCTGTTAATCCGGAGAGTGTAATATGATATCTTAATGTTCAATGTATAGAATTACCTTATAGTAAGAACACACGGAGTCTGCAGTAGGCCGGTTGGCATGTGCATGGCAGCTCCTGTGGGGAGTTACAACCACTCTCTATCGTCCATGAATCTATCTAGCCTCCTTTTAAAACTTTCCAGCGTCCCAGCACTTACTACAACGTTGCTAAGCTTGTCCCACTCGTCTACCACCCTATTTGTGAACCAGTTTCTTTCTATCTCCCTCCTAAACCGAAAATTATCCAACTTAAATCCGTTGCTACGAGTCCTATCCTGCTCGGATATTATAAGAACTTCATCTACATCTCCTTTATTAATTCCTTTCACCCACTTAAATACTTCTATCATATATCCCGCACTCTTCGTCTTTCTAGGGAATGCAAGTTTAGTTTCTTTCATCTATCCTGATATGGAAGGTTTCTAAGTCCCGGAATCATTTTTCGTCATTCTTCGCTGCACCGACTCCAGTGAATTGATATCCATTCTATAATAAGGGCACCAGAACTGAACAGCATAATCGAGGTGCGGCCTGACTAGCGCAAGATATAATTGCAATATGACCTCGGTACTCTTATTACTTACACGTCTAGATATAAAACCCAATTCTCTGTTTGCCTTATTTCGAACATTAACGCACTGTTTTCTAGGCCGGAGGTCCGGGCTTACAAGTACCCCTAAGTCTCTTTCACAAGTCGGCTTCTCTTGGTTGATGTTGTTAAGGCTGTATACATTGACAGTATTTGTCCTACCAATATTAAGTACGCTGCACTTGCTGATGTTGAATTCCATTTGCCATTTTTCTGATTACTCCTGCAGTTCATTTAAATCCTTCTGTAGTGCATTTTCATCCTGCCCTGAATTAATCTGCCACCGTATTTTGGTGTCATCCGCAAACTTGCTTATGTCACTGCTGATCCCAGTATCTAGATCGTTTATGTAGATTATGAACAAGAGTAGGCCGAGTACTGACCCCTGGGAACCCCACTAGTTACACAGCCCCACTCCAATTTAAGAACTTCTACGCCTACCCTCTGTGTTCTCAGAAGCCTCTGATGCGGTACTCTGTCAAATGCTTTGCTAAAGTCTAAGTAAATAACATCGTAATTTTCGTCATTATCTACTACCTCATAGACTTGCCTAAAAAGTCATCAGATTAATTTGTTTTCTCTAAATGTGCTCGGATGCTATTTGCTATAATCGACTCAAGAAATTTCCCCACTACTGACGTCAAACTAATCGGCCTGTAATTTGACGCTGATGCTCTGTCTCCCTTTTTGAATATGGGTACTACATTTGCCTGTTTCCACAAGTCTGGCACAACTCCCGTGCCTAATGATTTTGTAAATAAATTTTACAAGGGGTTCGCTAATCAGTTCCTTACACTCTTTCAAAACTCGAGGGAAAATTTCATCCGGCTCTGGGGATTTTGTCTTCTTTAATTTATTTATCTTCTTAAGAACATCTTCTTTTCTGATTGTGATATCCTTCAGTTTCTCGTCTTCATTTCCCATAAATATCAATTCCACGTCTGGCGTTTCCTCGTGAATTTCTTATGTGAAAACTGATAAGTAGCTGTTTAATACTTTGCTTATTTCCTCACTTTCATCCATCACTTCCCCTCTTTCTGACTTTAAAGGCCCCACTTTGTCCTTGACCTTTCTCTTCTATACCTGGAAAAATCCCTTGGGTTACACCTTGGATTCTCTTGCTATCCTAATTTCGTAGTTCCTCTTTGCCTTCCCTACATTTTTCTTAACATTCCTAGATAGTTCATTATACCTATCTCTGAGATGCTCCTCCCCCCCACCTTTTATTTTTTTTTAAATTCCTTTCTTTATTCCTATGTCATGTTTTAAGTTTATTGGTCATCCACCTTGGCTCATTCTTATTTGACCTAATTTTTCTGTATGGTATATTTTGTTCCTGTGCTTTACGTAACATACTAGTGAATTTATTATAGCCATAATCAATCTTTGTGTCGCTGGTGACCTCACCCATTCCTACCGGAGACTGACCTGACCGTTCCCAGGTGACCTCACCTAGGTACCTTCTTAACCCCACATCATCCGCCGATCGAAAGTCTGGGACTCTGATCATCTTGTCATTATTTTTCGCTTCTCAATTTAGGGTAAACCTGATTTCTCTGTGATCACTGTTCCCTAATTCTTCCCCTATTGTGGTATCTCTGATAATATTTTCTTTATTTGCTAAGACTAGGTCTAATATATGGTCACCTCTAGTAGGTTCTGTAATTAGTTTTTTTTAAATTGTCCACACCCTGGTCAGCTTTCCTAAGTTTGACCTTAGACCCCAGGGAGACAACCTCCTCCTGACCCTCCTTTGTAGGTGTCCTGCTACACCTGAAGGAGTTCAGTCCTGAAGGCTTCATTCTCCCCCTTTAAAACGTCCATAAGATACGCTGTTAAGTCACCGTGTCAAGGATTAAGACATCCCTGAGCCATTGTAATATTACCCTTCATTATCAAGGTGTCATTTTCTCACAGCTCTTTTGGAGTGATCAATGACAAGAAGTGTTTAGAAATGCCCTATGTTGATAACCTGTTGTATGTATATACAATATACTCGTAAGTGGCAAAGATAATTACTCTGTTGAATTAAGTAAACCTCATAAACTTGCTTCATAAATGGCACTAACTCACTATAGGACCTAAATATATTATGAAAAGGTAAGGTAGAAAGAGTAAAATACATTTGTTAGTCTCAGCTCGCTAGGTTGGTGTGGTGCGCAGGTATAGTGACAGAATGGCAGTGGGGGACGGTGGGCGGTACCTGGTGACCTTGAATATTCCCAAGGGTGGGTGTCCGATTCCTGTGAAACTTTAAGGTAGAGGCGTGTGGATGTGACGTCATAGATTGGGGCAGGAAACGACTGAAAACAAAGAGCTGGCAACTGGCAAGCCTCTAGGGCCTAGGCGGACAGTTGCCACCTGACACGCCTAGGGAGTGGTTGTGTTTGTTGTGTCTCCTGTGATCTCGTGTTTTCGTTGAGAGGTAAAGCTGAAAGGGAAATGGAGAGAGAAAGGGGAGGGGAGATAATAAAGAAGAAAGAAAGGGTGAGAGAGAAAGGAAAGTGATGGGTAAGATAGGAAAAGAAAGATATAGAAATTGAGAGAAAGATGAAGGCAAGATAGAGAGAAATAAAAAAAAGCGGAGAGAGGGGGAGTTAGTGAATGAGAGAAAAAGAAGACAGATAGAGAGAGACGAAAGAAGGAATAAAAAAAGAGAAACAAGACATCACATAACCTGTACTATTGTCATAACACTGTTGAGGTTAGGGATTTACCACAACTTTTCATAAGTGCATTAACGTCAAGCTTTCGATTAACTAGCTAGTTCTACACACACTCACAGGTACAGTACTGTTTCTGTTACAATACACACGTACAGTACTGTTTCCATGTTACAATACACAGGTACAGTACTGTTTCTATGTTACAATACACAGGTACAGTACTGTTTCTATGTTACAATACACAGGTACAACGTTTCTACCAAGGTACAAATACAGAGGTACAGTTTTAACATCTTAAAAAAGTATTAAAAGTTTAAAATTTGATTGTGAAAGTGACTCAAAAGATTTAATATTCATGATGAACTTAGTCACACAAGTTCATTAATTTGTAGAGAAAGAGAGACACGGAGAAAGAGAGAGAGACTCGCACATACGTAATAAACCCAAAAGTTTGAAAGTTCTCAGTTAACAAAATATTAAAAGAACTCAATCCCCGACGAGTTATTCCGAGCTTGGTGGGGTAATAACACGTGTGAAGCGAACGAACGCCTGTGTGTCCAAGGTGCGACCCACATACAGTACCGGATATTACTAAATGAGGTGTTGTTTATATTAAAGTTTCTGACCTCAGAGCGCATACATACATACTACTACTACTTTGCTGTCACGCGGAATCGAGTATGACGATCATCCAGCTATGATAAAATTATATGAGTTATTAAGGATGTTACCTAGGTTGGTGAGATTTGAGGTGACTAAAGAGACCGATACGGGTCCCGCAGGGTCGTCCACATTCGTTGCACATGTGGAGGGCTGCATCTAGTGCGGGAGGGGCGGTGACAGCGTCTTTCCGGTGTTGGCGCTTGTCTGCCTCGGTTTGCAGCCGGGCTAACTCGAAAATATTGACACCTTCTCGTGTGGTGCTCCTCCAAGCGTTACGATGTGGAGTAATCATCTCCTAGGTGAGAGGGGTCGATTTGGCACTTTTTCAGGTTTGTCTTAAGACAATCCTTATACCTTTTCAATTGCCCGCCGGTGTTATGTTTACTATTCGTTAGGTGATTGTAAAATAGCTGTTTTGGCAGTCTACTGTCTTCCATGAGGGTAACATGGCCAGTCCAGCGTAGCTGTTCATGGATAATGGTAGCCTCGATTCTCGTACAGTTGGTGTCAGCAAGAATACTGGCATTTGTTCTCTTGTTTTCCCAGCAAACTCGGAGGATGGAACGTAGACTTCGTTGGTGAAAGTTTTCAAGTGTCTTGAGGTGCTTCCTGTATGTGACCCATGTCTCACTGCCATATAGCAGGGTGGGGAAGACCACTGGTCGATATACATACAGCTTTGTACATAATTTCAGCTCCCTACAGCTGAAGACACGGTTTCGGAGTCTGCCAAAGGCTTGAGATGCACATCTGATCCGATGCTGAATCTCTTCATCGATGTCTGCGGTGGTGGACAGGTGGGAGCCGAGATACCGAAAGTGGGTAACGTTAGAGAGGGTAGTACCGTTAAGCTGGTATGGGTGGTGGAGGTGTGTCTGAACCTGGGGCAGGTTGAAAGAGAATCTGAGTCTTACGTACATTCACCTCAAGGCCAAGTACGCATACGCATCTGCGTAGGTGTTTAGGACCTCCTGTGGGCCGTGTTCAGTGTGAGCAATAAGGGTGAGGTTGTCTACATACATACATACATACATACATACATACGCAAATAAAATGCACAAAACCTAGATAACAGTACTCTCTCTCTCTCTCTCTCTCTCTCTCTCTCTCTCTCTCTCTCCACCATCAACAATTGTCCTAACTTGTTATTTACTCCCGTAGGCGTCACCATGCGGTCCCACGTCCTGCTGGTGGTTTTGGGGGCAGCTCTGACAGCCTCCAGCCTCGCCAAACAAGTACCCATGGAAAACACATTCGTAAGTAACTTTTCCTTTACTTATATACTTAACTGCCGTGTGCCTACTTATAATTCACACAGGAGGAATATTGGTTTTCGATAATCGCCTTCTACTTATATCCCGTGTTTGAGTTTGTTTACATGTTTGTTTGTTTGATTGTATGTTTATTTGTTTGTTTTTCAATAGAGAAAGCGGTCAAGGATAAGGTAGTTAAGTGCTGCTGTGTAGTGAGGCAGGGAGTTGGACAGTTTAGGGGTATTATAGGAGTTGTGGTGGACTGAGGTACATTCATGGTGGAGCTTCATCTGATGCCCTCTCAATCCTGTGTCGTCAGAACAGTGTGTGTGTGTGTGTGTGTGTGTGTGTGTGTGTGTGTGTGTGTGTGTGTGTGTGAGTGAGTGAGTGAGTGAGTGAGTGAGTGAGTGAGTGAGTGAGTGTGTGTGTGTGTGTGTGTGTGTGTGTGTGTGTAAATAACTATAAGATAGGACAAATGATCCCTACAAAAGTTCAACGCTGGATTCTTCTGGTTAAGTCATTATTACTGATTGTTTTGATAACTTTTTCTATACTGAATCTAAGAAAGGAAGTGTCCCAGTACCACATGCAGCCCACAGGTGACAGACGTTTTCTACCTGTTAGAGCACATGACTTTAATATAAACGGTTGTCATCAGATAGATCCTGGCTTAGGACGTGTTTTCAGGCTTTACTAATTGGATAAACTTCTGACGAATTTTTCCACACAAGACGAGACGTACCGATAAAAGTAATATTTCCAACCACTGTCCTTATTATCACCGTTGCCGTCGTAGGTATTTATAATATTCTAACATGATCATCTTACCCACAGTATCAACTAGACTGCCCAGGTAACGGACAGATGGCTTACTTCCTGCTGCACGGGATAGACGACGCTCTACCTGTGGACTTTACCGACGAGGAGCTCACTGTCTTCGCTAATGGCAGCATCATCTTCAAGGTAAACTGAGACCCCAAGTTCAACAATGTTTTCCGTGATGTCAACAAAAAATACATAATCTGAGTAAAATGGCGTCAAAATTACACCATGGTTCTTACTGTTATATGAGATATACCCCCCTGTATATATACGAGTATATGTTTGTTTATAAAAAAAAATACTCGTTCTCTCTCTCTCTCCCTCTCTCATCCACTCACGAGAACTCTTTCACCTCCTTTACAGTCCATCAAGATACACCACGAAGGAACACACCTGTGCATGAGGCGACAGAGTGTCAATAAGATGCGAGGCCACCCTGTCTCGGTGAAGGTGCGGCCTCAACCTCCCAACAACCTCTGGGGTGAAGTGTACGAGGTAAGTAAATGGGATCAAACCTTAATTAATAGTTTATAATGGTATCCAAACCTTAGTTAATAGTCTATAGTGGGATTCAAATCTATATTAATAGTTTATAATGGGATTCAAACCTTAGTTAATAGTCTATAATAGAATCCATATCTCAATAGCCAATAATGGAATCCAAACCTTAGTTAATAGTCTTTAATGGAATCCAAACCTTAATTAATAGTCTTTAATAGAATCCAAACCTTAATTAATAGTCTATAATGGGATCCATGCCTAATGACTAACACGGGACCATTTTACATACAACTAGTCGTTCAACCTGTGCTGTACAACCAATCATGTCTCTCTCTTACGAGGGGAACTAAACTATGTTGGTGTTAATGTTTTTGGGCGGTAGTTTTGGGTGCTTCAACTACCAAGGTCGTTAACGCGGCATTAAGTAATACAATTCTACATCACAGTGCTCAGAGTAACAACAACAATAATAATAATAACTTGCCCTACATTCCTTTCCACAGTCACAGTTCCTCACAGGCCTGGTAGCTGCCCTTGTCATCAGCTCTGTGTTTGCTCTCTCCTGCCTCGTCTACAAGTTTCAGTGGCGACCAGTCAATACGGATAATGGTCAGTTCCTCTATCGTGTGTGTGTGTGTGTGTGTGTGTGCACAGGGTGGTGTAATGCATCAAGTATGGCAGTATTATGTTAGTTTTAAGGTACAGGCATTGCTTGCTCCCTTTCGCTTTCAGCTACCGCCGCTGGCTAGCCCTCATGGTAAAAAGGGAAGCAGCCCTGCGTAATTCTTCCCGTGCCAGTACACAGCCTCTTCAACATCATAACTCCTGCAGTGCCTCCTCCTGGCAACTCACGGTAACTGGGTGCCTCGTGGGCTCAGGCTTGACCAGTAGGGGATCTCGGAGCAGCAGTGGGCCCCAGAGGGACGGTGCAAAGGCCCACTGGCATGTGGACACGCCCTGGTGCCTACCAACCAATGGCCCACTGCCTTGCGGATTAACTTTGAAAGGTATAAGGCTACAGAAGGAAACCCCAAACGAAAAATCTATGGTGGAGCCCCGCATCAGGCAGACATGCTTACAGAGCTCCGGTAAGACCCCAACGGCGGTATAAGTAGAAGAGGTGACCAACATGGGAACCCAACGACTACACCCACGAACGAAGGCAATGAATGATGGACAGGCTACTAAGAAGAAACCCAACAAACTGGGCTATCAGCAGTCCATTGCAACTCTCTTCCCAGTCGTTGCAACCACTTGCACTACTGGATCAGGAAAATGGAGAGCCAAGATGTGTGGATGCAGCCTGCACTCCTGCCTCATCACATAAATCAACTCACGTGCAGCCATCATCCAGCTCATCATACTTCTCATCATTATCAAACCCCTATCCCGCCAAAAGTCCTATGGTGACGGACGAGTGGTGACAGACAGGCAGAGAGGACTGCCGGGAGTCGCTAGTCACAACTCTGCATATGGGTGGCATAGGTAAGATGGTTGTTTATGCACTGGGATCTACATAGCAGTGCAATCCAGAGCTGTCTGTGCAACTGAGAAGCCCTTACCAGGAGCCACTCTGCTCACCCCACATGGGGAGCGGCTAGAAAAGGTACCCTAAACATAGCATGCCTAACGAACCAACCTGACTGGGTAACCGCAGCCAGTAAGGTCATCCTTATGCGGTCGAAAACAATCACAATCACAGATCAAAGCAAAAACAAACTAAACAACCTCTTATGGTCGATGCATGGAATGTCAGGCTCCTTCTGGATACTGGCACAAATGGGCATCCTGAAAGAAGAACTGCCCTTGTTGCAAAAGAGCTGGCTAGGTATAACATCGACATAGCAGCCATTAATGAGTCCCGGCTCTCAAATGAGGGTCGATTCACAGAACAGGGGTACTACTATACCTTCTGGATGGGTAAGCTTGCTGCGGAGAGAAACCACATTTACGGAGTTGGCCTTGCCATTTACCAATCCATCCTACATAGGCTAACTGAATGCCTGTTGGGATCAACGAGCACTTCATGATGCTCCGAGTCCCACTGAATCACTCACGTCATGCCTTCTTCATCAGTGCATTCTCCCCAACACTGGATGCAGAGGATGACATCAAAGAGGCCTTTTATGCCGACCTTGACAGAGTGCTAACCTCTATCCCCTGAGAAGATAAGGTTGTGCTCCTTGGTGACTTCAATGCCAGAGTTGGCAGAGATGCTGACATTTGGCAGGAAACCATAGGGAGAAACGGAGTAGACAAGTGTAATCCCAACAAGTTCAAGGGTTCTTGGCAACACCCACGTTCCAAACACTGGCATCTCATTGACTACATCATTGTCCTCATCACCCAAGCGAAGCATAGCTCAGACCATTGCTTTACAGTAAAGTAGTAGTAGTAGTGTGTGTGTGTGTGTGTGTGTGTGTGTTAAGTTTAGACTATGTTAGGTTCAATCACAATAAAACACTTATGATAACCGACTGAAAGGCAGTAAAAAGATTCACAAATAAGAAAACGAGATGAAAAATATATATATATATAATACATTCACTGACACTCTGAGCTGATGAAAAATTATCTCAATTTAATTTAGACGATAAGTTAACTCAGTATTTCAGCAGATTCAGTCAGTAAGTCAGTCAGTCAGTATGCTAGTTGGCATGTCAGTTATGATAGGTGTTTACTGGGTAGAAAACTGCATGTAAAAAAAAAATCCATAACAATGTATTTACTTGGTGTTCTTCCCCAGCCACTGAACCCATAGTCCGGGAGGATGGTTATGACAACCCAGCCATGGTCAACGCAGATGATATCGAGGCTTCCAACACCAAAATGTAGTAGTAGCCTCTGACACCAGGGAAGATGGTGTTAGTGTTGTCACCAGGGAAGACGATGTCAGTGTTATCATCGAGATGTAAACAATGGCACCACATTTAAGTAATGTTATCCTCATATAGTCTGACAGTGAATATTTCAAGTTGCTCATCATTACATCAAGATTAAGACATAAATACTGTAATCACTGACACTCTTTTGTTTATGATGATTTATTCATTAAGCTCTGCCCTCTGTTGTGCATCCTTAGCAACTGTCAAGTCCTAGGAATTGATTGGTTGATGGTTGCTATGGGCTTCACTTCGTAACCATTAGCCAACCAGCTGCTGAGAATTGACTTGGTTGTCAGGGATGCATAAAGGGGGTCCATCTATATTTGGGGTAAGGAATAATGAACAAATATTAATGTTAAGTGGACATAATGTTGATATTCAACCATCTGTCAGTATTATATATTGAAAATTGTGTTGATTTATTTGGATCAAAATATAATGGTGTAAAACATATGACACAGAGGTACTGTGTGTGTGTGTGTGTGTGTGTGTGTGTGTGTGTGTGTGTGTGTGTGTGTGTGTGTGTGTGTGTGTGTGTGCCATTACCCATTTTATTGAAATTTCTTTCGTATGTTAAATTACATTGTTTTTATCTTCAAATTCATAAATCATTCCACAACGAAAGACTTGTCGTCTTTAATTCACCTTTTACAGATACATGTTATAAACATATTTGATGTACTATGCACTGTATATATATGTATGTAGTAAACTTTTTTTTTTAATTTATGCTAAGATCATAAATTATTTAACTTCTACCAGGTGTATTTTACTAAAGTTAACGTTACTTTATTAGTGAACACAAACCTTATAAACTACCTCCTTCACTGTACAGATATATCTTCAAAATGTAAGAATAATAGAAATAATAAATTTATCAATCAAAATAACATCCTCCGGCCTGAGGTGTTGGGACCATGACCCACCACTCCCAGTGTTGTGGGTCTGTCTTTTGATCAACTGCCGACATGCTCCAGAAATGTTTCTAAAAAGCTCTCCATCCTGCTGCCTGCAGAAGGGACAGGCAACATGGATAAAACCAGTATAATACAGTGGCTTAAGTTTCTTTCCAAATATTGTGCATAATAGCCAGTGTTAATACCAGACAGAGATACAGAGCGGTGAAGGTGATGAGTTGGAACATCTCATCCCTCAGAAAACGATGCCCTGACCTACACCACAAAGTTGTGACTGAGGACATCGATATTGTGTGTCTGCAGGAGTGTCTCACACCTAATGGTAAGCCCCCACCCAGTCTGCCCAATTATGTGTATTATGATCCTAGTTCTACTCACACGTGTCTAATGTATGTCAAGAAATCGCTACCGCATGTACAGTTCCGTTCAGAAGTACGTGGTACATTGGCGGTGAAGGGTGCATAGTCTGTTGTACCCTTCCTGGACGACAGGTCACTACGCAGACCCTCCCACCAACACACACAGTGGAACCAGCAACGGGGCAGTGTGGCTCGAACGAATACTCATCAAAAAAGAGATTGGAAGGACATTAATGTGAATATCAGCCAACGTTACTGCTGATGGGTGATGAAGATGTGTTAATATCTTGTTTACGAGAGCAGACATCTACAGTATAGTGATAGGAGTAGCCAATTGAATATCAGAATACAATAGGGAAATTAGTTTGGAATGAACAATATAAGAAATAGTTGAACAGAGCTCATACATCAAGAGTCTTCAATGTATTCATTACTTGAAGTTTTCAGTATAATACTCTCAGTGTCGTCTGTGGAGGGTCAACACTACAGGAACACTCGTGTCTGCTAAATTCTTCAATACTGTACGGGGCATTTGACTTATTTTATCAACTCAAGTTTGTGTTCCATTGTAGAATATGAAGAAAATATATTATTAGAATAAATATAAATAGATGGGTTAAAGAAATCTATTAGTTGTCATATATCTTTGTAGTAATAAATATTTAAAACATATTGAACATGTTTAGAAAGTCTTAATTTAACAGTTCATAAAATATATTTTGACCATCTATTGAAACACACATGATTAGATTTATACATATAATAATTACTATTAATACTAAAACTAATACCGATATTAATATTGTCATAACCAAAGGAAACTTTTCGTGTTTATATGATGAACTATAATATGGCCGAGGCTATGGTAGTATGTCGACCTGACTCACTTCTTAAACCTGACGTAAAATGGATTGTGAAGAAATTATTTTTAAGAGTATGGCAACAGGGATCGTCCAGGATCAGAAGAGAATAGTCAACACCATAATTATCTATTAGGATGGGATCGAGATCAGCTGGTATGTGTAAATCAACAGAGGTTCATCCATATCAGTTCTCTCCACTTAACTGACCGTTGTTAGTTTGTTCTCAATAAGACGATTATACGTACCTCCAAATCATGATGGCATAATATCAACAAAAAATTCTAGGTCTTGTCCTGTACAAATATATATACAAAATTAAATGCCTCTTATAGACGCCCAGGAGATGCCTTTTAAAAGTTTGTGGCAGTAACAGTTCCCTTATTTCTCTATCGATCTGTTTCGTATACAGACGTGGCCAAAGTTCCCTTGGCACTTGGTAATATCTGATATGTACTGTACAGTCACCCACAAAATTCCTGTCGCCTCTCCTGAATCACGAACCCCGAGATTCAGGCTCATGAACCCCGAAGCAGTAGACACTGATGTACAGTATTCCGTTTTTAAATGCTTCGGGTTCACGAGTCTGATTCTCGGGGTTCGTGATTCAGGAGAAGAGGCGACAGGAATTTGTGGGTGACTGTACTTGTGGGTCATTTTATTATAATTTACGCCAGATTAGTGGAAATAGAAAACACTATACCATAATACAAAGACAAATCTGAGTATATGGATGTTAGAACTTCAACCTCCCTTACCTACATGACCACCGGGTAAATGATGCCAGGTACTGACAAAACTGTATAGGGAATCTCATCTCAATTGTACATTACAGCCAGACCAGCAACACGACTCTTTGACAAGTCAGAATATCAACGATGTTTGACAAACGAAAAACTGCTGACTCTGTCCTGATGCTTCCAGCCACAACCAACCTAACTGTGTGGTGTTTATAGACCAATGACTGCCTCAAGACACTCAACCATCACTCACCAACACTACACTAAGTTCCTCCCTGAAAAGCAACACTGTAAAAGTGACAAAATATGAAGCTAAAGTAGAACGAAATTGCCAATGGACGACACTGTTGACAGTTGAAGAAAATAGATCGCGTTAGGTAAAATAAACTATGGAGGGGTGAGTCTTCAGGTGATCTAAATCAACGTTGCGAAAGTATTATTATCGTGTTTGGACAATATAATGTGTGTGTGTGTGTGTCATAACGGAATATAAACTCAGGTATTACAACAGCCATTACGTCAATACCAGGAAATGTTAGTCTCTAAATTAACCCAGAATATTGTATTGATTTTTACTGTACTTCAACCAATAACATCTTTAACCTTGTATTTTGGATAAGTAAATTACTCTAGATATCAATAATATAATCTCTCCATAAGTTTTAATAATATACATATAAATATACATATACAATATACATATACATCTCTTTAAAGTATTAATCTGCCAGAAGGTTCAATACCCTGCCCTACTGTCCACAATACCGACGAGCCGATACCTTTTCTACTATCTCGACAGGTGGGCCAAATCATGAATCTCAAGTGAACGAATAACATTTTCGTCTTCTGAAAAGCGTGACGGACCGTATAGCTTGACAAGCAAGGTGTGAATCATCTCGTGCAGCCATTAATCCATAAGAGGACCTGGCCTGTGGCGTGTACAGTCGTCACGGTCATAAATGCACACACAGATATATATACTGTGTGTGTGTGTGTGTGTTTTTTATTTTGGAGATCCTTACCATGTATACCTGACACTGTATCCGGATTCATAAGCGTTCGTATGATTATTCCTGGTAACTGGTGCATTAGAATAAATCATCCAGTTAAATAACGTAACGTAACGTAACGTAACGTAACGTAACGTAACCTAGCCTAACCTAACCCCTTTCCAGGTAACATTAAGGTCTTCAATCATCTGGTGAAAATAAAAGCGACGGTGCGTAATATTGACGTGATCCAAATTATATTCTTCCTCTCTTAGGTTACAATTCTATCCCAAAGAAGGAGCTTCCTCTCAACCCCTCCTCCCCCTCCTTATCCCTTTCTATACTCACCCCCTACTCACCCCTTTCCCCCCAGCTCCAGTCCCCCCCTACGGGAGGTCCGGAGCTAATGTGGAAGATTAACGCGCAGATAAAGCATGAAAACCTCCTCCCTCTCAGCGTCGCCCTTTCTTCCTGTAGTGTCGTGTGTGACATTTAGCGGATAGTAGTGTAGACTGTAGAGTACATTGAACCCCTCCCTCCCTCTCTCTTTCCCTCCCACCTATCCTCCCTCCCTCTCTCTTTCCCTCCCTCCCTCTCTCCCCACACACTAAGCACTGTATGACTCTTGATTCAAATTGGAAATGTTCACGTAACTTAAAAATGATCCTAAGGACGTGTTGTGATTTTGTGTTGATGTTATTGGTTATTAACAACTATTTTAAGGTCTTTAAGCGTGTATAGGCCTAGTTAATAGGCCTATTAGTACCATATATTCATCTTATCACTCAAACTACTTGGTCACTACAGCAACTGAGAGAGTTTGATAGATCTATAGTGTAGGAGAGAGAGAGAGAGAGAGAGAGAGAGAGAGAGTAAAAGGAAGAATGCCCCGCGACCACCACCACAAACTACCCTGCTTTGCCTCTCCAGTTTCACCTTAATACGTAAACATGACCACCAGGTAACCACTGTGAGAGTATTGTGGCTGTTTACCTCTCTGCTTTACATACATACATACATACATACATACATACATACATACATACATACATACATACATACATATATATACATACATACATACATACATACATACATACATACATACATATATATACATACATACATACATACATACATACATACATACATACATACAATACTTGACTGCACTAGTTAGGATCTGATTCTCACTTTATTTTTCATTTGCTTTCACATCAGCCGTCGACCAACAACTTTCCATCATGCTTGTACACATCATTACACAAACAAACAAACAAACAAACAAAAACAAACACGTAACTGGATGATCTTTGTTATTGTTCTCTTCATTACAGATCAGATAACATTACTTTCAAAATAAAAACTCAAAGTCAACATAGAGGAAGAGATAGACCAGCTTATAGGTGTAGGTAAAGTGAAAGCAAATTTCTAAAGAGAGTGAATTATATTCTTTGGGTCTTTCACTACGACTCCTTCCACCGCTTCGTTTTTTAGTCGTGGTGGAAAGTTCATTGTGTGTTTGATTAGTTGGTTTTGTGATAAGATTACAGTGTGGTTCATCACTAAGTTAAGTTCAGGCTTAATACAAGTAGAGATACGAATACAGGTACAGTTATAAGTACAGGTGTATACCCGGGTGTAAATACAGGTACAGGTTATTTTTTACAAGTACAAGAAAAGGACAGATGTAAGTGGTACAGTAAAATTACTAAGGTCCGTTCGTCTCTTCCCCTGAACCACGAACCCCAAGATTCACAT